CCAAGATATGAGACTACTTCCCACAAAATGACATGTACCAGAGGTACTTTTTCTGTCCAATCTACATCCTGCAAAGTCAGAATCAGAAAATCCAACAAGTTTAAGAGATGCACCTTCAGGATACCATAGTCCGACATTAACAGTTCCTTTAAGGTACTTCAAAATCCTTTTAGCAGCGGTAAGATGTGATTCCTTTGGATTTGCCTGAAATCTAGCACAAAGGCACACACTAAACATAATGTCAGGCCTACTAGCAGTCAGATATAGCAGAGAACCAATCAAACCTCTATATTTAGTTTGATCAACAGATTTCCCTTTTTCATCTAAATCTAGACAGCAATTAGTAGACATGGGTGTAGAGGATTCCTTGCAATTGTGCATATCAAATTTCTTCAATAACTCATTGCAGTATTTAGATTGACTTAGAAAAATGTCATTTCTTAATTGCTTAACCTGGAGACCAAGGAAGAAATTCAATTCTCCCATCATAGACATCTCAAATTCACTTTGCATTTCCTTAACAAACTTATTACACAAGGCATTATTAGTAGAACCGAAAATGATATCATCCACATACACCTGCACCAGAATAATGTTAGTTCCAGAATTCTTAATGAATAGGGTTTTATCAACTTCACCTCGTTTGTACCCTTGATCAATTAAAAAGTTACTTAACCTCTCATACCATTGTCTAGGAGCTTGCTTTAAACCGTAAAGAGCCTTTTTCAATTTGTAAACATGGTCTGGATGCTTGTGATTTTCAAAACCAGGAGGTTGAGAAACATAAACTTCTTCATTGATGAGTCCATTTAGAAAGGCACTCTTGACATCCATCTGTAGTAATCTGAAACCACTTATACAGGCATAAGCTAATAATAATCTGACAGCTTCTAGTCTAGCTACAGGTGCAAAGGTTTCATCAAAATCAATACCCTCTTGTTGGTTATACCCTTTGGCTACCAACCTAGCTTTATTTCTAGTGATAATGCCGTGTTCATCTAGTTTGTTTTTGAATACCCACTTAGTACCAATTACATTGATATCTTTGGTTTTAGGAACTAATTCCCACACGTTATTCCTTTCAAACTGATTAAGCTCATCATGTATGGCACTAACCCAGTATTCATCATTTAATGCCTCTTTAACAGTTTTAGGTTCTATTTGTGAAATGAATGCCATATGATTGCAGAATTGATTAAGAGAATGTCTAGTGGATACTCCCTTATTGATTTGCCCGATGACATTGTCTAGAGAAAGATCTCTTGGGACAATCCATTCTTTAGGAAGCTCTTCCATGACATCTTCTTCCTGTTCTTCAGTAATTGTTGGTGGATCAGCTTTTGCAGGATCAACTGATTGATCACCTTCTTCAACAGTATGTTGATCTGAGCTACTAGGATGTTTTAACTGATAAGAATTATTAATTAAATCTTCTTTATCTGCAGTACCTGTTGTTCTACCAACATTACCGTGTCAGATTCTGGCTCACAGATTAGGCACTTTTCTGGTTTGAAGATAACTTTGTGACCAAGATCACATAACTGACTTATACTGATTAGGTTGTGCTTGAGACCTTCAACAAGAAGAACATTGTGAATGGTTACCGATTCACCATCTCCGATATCTCCGTAACCTAGAATTCTTCCCTTGTTGTTGTCTCCATAAGTCACATGACCTCCATTCTTCAATCTCGCTTCGGAATTTTGAAATGTCACCCGTCATGTGCCTTGAGCATCCGTCGTCCGTGTACCGGAGGGACTCTTGTTGCTGTTCCTGAAAGATCAAACATCAAGTATTTGGTACCCTTAAATATTTTGGGTCCTTAGGAGTCAAATTTTCTGTTTAACATGTTTTGGAACCCATCTCATTCTGCCTTGTGGCACAAAATATTTCCTAGCATGAAAAAATTTTACCGTATGTCCTTTCTTCATGCAGTAATGACAAGATGAGAAAGGGGATGTTGTTGCTTTTCTAAAGGAAAAGAAGTTCAAATACTTTTTAGTTTTTACCCCAATCTTAGGTTTGTACCCGATTCCTGTATGTTTAAAAACACAGTTTTGAGATCCAAGAAGTGCATCTAAATTCTCTTTTCCTTGAGTAAATTTTGACAAGGTTTTAATCAAATAATCAACCTTATTTTATAGAAGAATGCACTTTTCACAGTTCTTGTTAGTAGCAGCATTATCAGCAGATGAATAGATTATCTCAAGATGTTCTATATCTGTTTTGCTTTCTAATAACTCTTTTTCCAGAATTTTAACCCTATTCTCTAACCAGTTATTCAAACCTTTCAACCGATTATTTGTATGAGATAAATTTCTCGGCTTCACTATGCATTTCATTGAAAGCATTTAGTAATGTGTTGTAATTCATTTCATTCTCTCGTGGGAGTTGAACTTACATGTGATGAAGAGGATTCACGACCAGCCATCAAACATAGGTTCACCTCTTCACCTTCGGATGCGTAACCGGAAGATGAATCATTGTCTTGCCAAGCTATGTAGGCCTTTTTCCCTTTGTATTTTTACTCTTTCTTGTTCCGATTCTTGGTCTTTTCCGGACAATCACTCCTTATGTGTCCCCGCTTACCACAAGAATAACAAGTAACAATATTTTGAATAGATTCAGTCTTTTTATCGAGTGTACCTTTTTACTTGGCCGCTTCTGTTCTTCCTTCTAAGAAATTTCCCAAATTTCTTAACCAACAAAGTCGATTCTCGGATTCATCTTCTTTAGACTCACTCGTTTTCTTCAATCGTCTTGAGAACAATGTTTCTGCTTTTCTTTTCTGCATTCTCTTGTTCTTTGAACTAATTGATTTCCAACTCATGTTCCCTTAACTTACCAAATAGTGAAGCAATGAGTCATTTCGATCAAGTCTCTTGATTCCGATATAGCCGTCACCTTTGGTTGTCAAGTTCTCGTCCAAACACTTCAAGATTTTGATGTTCAACTCTTCCTTGTCAAAAGTCTTTCCTAGCCCAATTAGATGATTGACTATGTGCGTGAACCTTTTCTGTACATCTGCAATTGTTTCTCCTTGCTGCATTTTAAACAATTCATAGTCCCTAATTAACTCATGCTTTCTTGCCCTTTTCACATCAGATGTACCTTCATGTGTGATCTCTAGAATTTCCCATATCTCTTTGGCAGAGGCACATTGAGACACCCTGCAAAACTCATCAAGATTTAAAGCAGAGGTAATAATATTTTTAGCAGTATAATCATATTGGACTCTCCTATTTTCTGCATCAGTTAATTCAGCCCAATTTTTCTCAACAATTTTACCATCTACTGTATGAGTTGGTTTGTAAGGACCATTAACAATTGTTTCCCAAATACCTCTATCAAGAGATTCAATAAAGATTTTCATTCTAACCTTCCAGTAAAGAATAATTCACACCAAAGAAAAGAGGAGGCCTGTTTATGGAGGCTCCTTCGAAAAATTCATCTTTCCCTCGACCATTCTTGGACCGAATTCTTGAGTAACTTACAAGAACCAGCTCTGATACCAATTGAAAGAATTAATGGTTGAGTTCAAGAGGGGGGTGAATTGAACTTTATAAAACTTTTTCGCAAAACTTACTTTCTTTTGGAAGAATGATTTATCTTTATTCAATTCTTGTGTAGGTAGGTTGATTTTAATTACAACAAGTATATAGGCAGGAAATAAAAGAGATGAAAGAAGAAATTCAACACAAAAGTTTATACTGGTTCACTCTATACCAGAGCTACATCCAGTTCTTGACAAATCTGCCAAGTTCCACTAATACCAAGTGAAAGATACAACCAGTAGATATTCACCAATCTACTCCAAGAAATATCTTACAAACCCACAAGATAGAATCTTGAAAACCTTCCAATAACCAAATCCAGTTACTGTAACAAGTGCAGATCCAAAATTCAACCTGCACAACCACACTTTACACAAGAGTATGAAAAGAAAAAACCTGGACTGCAGCTTTATCAGTACAATTGTCCAGAACCAATTCTAACTCAACACTTTCTCTCTTTGATTGAACACAATTTTGATCAAAGCACCTTATGATATGAAAAGTTCTTGAATGCACAGAGAAATTCACGGATATGATAGCTCAAAGATTGCTTTCAAATGTTTTCTCAAATTGTATGTATCAAAAGATAGATTAAATCTGTATTTATAGAGTAAAAGACAGAACCAGAGAGTTTAATCTGATAAAAACTGGTTTAGTGTAGAAAGTAATCGATCATAATGAACATATAGCAGGTTAGAATCGATTATGATCGATTAGAACAACAATATGATCGATTAGAACAAGTTATGATCGATCAGAATGAAATTATGATCGATCAGAATGCATTTCAATCGATTAAAATGACGATTCAATCGATTGATTTCATTTAAAACTTCATTCAATCGATTGATTCGAGTTTTCAATGGATTGAAACAGATTTATGAAAAATGATAGCTCTCTGTTTCAATCGATTGAAAATCATTTCAACATATTGAAATTCTATAGACTCTTAGATAGAAAAATAGTCTCTCTGTTTCAACAGATTGAAAAGTATTTCAATAGATTGATTTTCTGAAAAACTCTTAGACTGAAAAAATAGTCTTTCTATTTCAACAGATTAAAAAACATTTCAACAGATTGAAAATGCAAAACCTTTGATATTTGAAAAATTCATTAAGACATTTTAACCTGTTGATTCTGCGATTCAACCAATTGAAATTCCGACTATATATGACCACTTTTTATGTTAAGTGATTTTAACAGATTGAAAATCCTTTTCAACAGATTGAAAAACTTAGTTTGTTCTTTTAATACTTAAATGTAAGTTTTTCATGCAAAAAAATGATTTTAATGATATGCATCATTTTAAGGCGCTTATCACAAAATATATTGGCCTATCAAGAGATTAAGTTCTAACCTTCTAGCCTATTCATCTACACACCCACAAACTAAACTATATCCACTCAATATTATGTCTTCATCAAATCCACCAAGTGCTTCACATGGATGGGGAAGAAGTTTGGGATGGAGAAGAAGTTAAGGATGGAGAAGAAGTTTGGGATGGAGGAGAAGTTTGGAATGGAGGAGAAAAACCGAAGTATGGAGAAGAAGTTAAGTTAGGAAGGAGACGAAGTCAAGGAAGAAGAAGTTTTGGATGGAGAAGAAGTTAGGGATAAAGAAGAAAGTATGGATGGGGAAGAAGTTTGGGATGGAAAAGAAGTTTGGAATGGAGAAGAATCTACTAAGTATGGAGAAGAAATTAAGGAAGAAGAAGTTAAGGAAGGAGAAGAACTTTCGGATGGGATGGGATAGGATATGAGATTATATAGTTAAGGATGGAGAAAAAACTTGGGATGTAGAATGAAGTTAAGGAAGCAGAAGAAGTTAAAGAGGATGGAGAAGAAGTTAGGGAAGGAGAAAAAGTGAAGAATGAAGAACAAGTTAGGGAAGGAGAAGAAGTTAAGGATGGAGAACAAGTTAGGGAAGGAGAAGAAGAAGTTAAGGATGGAGAAGTAGTTTGGGATGGGGAAGAAGTGAAGGAAGGAGAAGAAGTTAAGGAAGAAGAAGAACAAGAAGTTTTGGATGGAGAAGAAGTTAAGGGTAAAGAAGAAAGCATGGATGGGGAAGATGTTTGGGATGGAGAAGAAGTTAAGGATGGAGAAGAAGTTTGGGATGGAGGAGAAGTTTGGAATGGAGGAGAAGAACCGAAGTATGGAGAAGAAGATAAGGAAGAAGAAGTTTAGGAAGGAGACGAAGTCAAGGAAGAAGAAGTTTTGGATGGAGAAGAAGTTAAGGATAAAGAAGAAAGTATGGATGGGGAAGAAGTTTGGGATGGAGAAGAAGTTTGGAATGGAGAAGAATCTACTAAGTATGGAGAAGAAATTAAGGAAGAAGAAGTTAAGGAAGGAGAAGAACTTTCGGATGGGATGGGATAGGATAGGAGATTATATAGTTAAGGATGGAGAAGAAACTTGGGATGTAGAATGAAGTTAAGGAAGCAGAAGAAGTTAAGGAGGATGGAGAAGAAGTTACGGAAGGAGAAGAAGTGAAGATTGATTCGAGTTTTCAATGGATTGAATCAGATTTATGAAAAATGATAGCTCTCTGTTTCAATCGATTGAAAATCATTTCAACAGATTGAAATTCTGTAGACTCTTAGATAGAAAAATAGTCTCTCTGTTTCAACAAATTGAAAAGTATTTCAACAGATTGATTTTCTGAAAAACTCTTAGATTGAAAAAATAGTCTTTCTGTTTCAACAGATTAAAAAACATTTCAACAGATTGAAAATGCGAGAAGAACTTTCGGATGGGATGGGATAGGATAGGAGATTATATAGTTAAGGATGGAGAAGAAAGTTGGGATGTAGAATGAAGTTAAGGAAGCAGAAGAAGTTAAGGAGGATGGAGAAGAAGTTAGGGAAGGAGAAAAAGTGAAGATTCAAGAACAAGTTAGGGAAGGAGAAGAAGTTAAGGATGGAGAACAAGTTAGGGAAGGAGAAGAAGAAGTTAAGGATGGAGAAGTAGTTTGGGATGGGGAAGAAGTGAAGGAAGGAGAAGAAGTTAAGGAAGAAGAAGAAGAAGAAGTTTTGGATGGAGAAGAAGTTAAGGGTAAAGAAGAAAGCATGGATGGGGAAGAAGTTTGGGATGGAGAAGAAGTTAAGGATGGAGAAGAATTTTGGGATGGAGGAGAAGTTTGGAATGGAGGAGAAGAACCGAAGTATGGAGAAGAAGTTAAGTTAGGAAGGTGACGAAGTCCAGGAAAAAGAAGTTTTGGATGGAGAAGAAGTTAAGGATAAAGAAGAAAGTATGGATGGGGAATAAGTTTGGGATAGAGAAGAAGTTTGGAATGGAGAAGAATCTACTAAGTATCGAGAAGAAATTAAGGAAGAAGAAGTTAAGGAAGGAGAAGACCTTTCGGATGGGATGGGATAGGATAGGATATGAGATTATATAGTTAAGGATGGAGAAGAAACTTGGGATGTAGAATGAAGTTAAGGAAGCAGAAGAAGTTAAGGAGGATGGAGAAGAAGTTAGGGAAGGAGAAAAAGTGAAGATTGAAGAACAAGTTAGGGAAGGAGAAGAAGTTAAGGATGGAGAACAAGTTAGGGAAGGAGAAGAAGAAGTTAAGGATGGAGAAGTAGTTTGGAATGGGGAAGAAGTGAAGGAAGGAGAAGAAGTTAAGGAAGAAGAAGAAGAAGAAGTTTTGGATGGACAAGAAGTTAAGGGTAAAGAAGAAAGCATGGATGGGGAAGAAGTTTGGGATGGAGAAGAAGTTAAGGATGGAGGAGAAGTTTGGCATGGAGGAGAAGTTTGGAATGGAGGATAAGAACCGAAGTATGGAGAAGAAGTTAAGTTAGGAAGGTGACGAAGTCAAGGAAGAAGAAGTTTTGGATGGAGAAGAAGTTAAGGATAAAGAAGAAAGTATGGATGGGGAAGAAGTTTGGGAAGGAGAAGAAGTTTGGAATGGAGAAGAATCTACTAAGTATGGAGAAGAAATTAAGGAAGAAGAAGTTAAGGAAGGAGAAGAACTTTCGGATGGGATGGGATAGGATAGGAGATTATATAGTTAAGGATGGAGAAGAAACTTGGGATGTAGAATGAAGTTAAGGAAGCAGAAGAAGTTGAAGAGGATGGAGAAGAAGTTAGGGAAGGAGAAAAAGTGAAGAATGAAGAACAAGTTAGGGAAGGAGGAGATGTTAAGGATGGAGAACAAGATAGGGAAGGAGAAGAAGAAGCTAAGGATGGAGAACAAGTTAAGGATGGAGAACAAGTTAAGAAGGAGAAGAAGTTAAGGAAGAAGAAGAACAAGAAGTTTTGGATGGAGAAGAAGTTAAGGGTAAAGAAGAAAGCATGGATGGGGAAGAAGTTTGGGATGAAGAAGAAGTTAAGGATGGAGAAGAAGTTTGGGATGGAGGAGAAGTTTGGAATGGAGGAGAAGAACCGAAGTATGGAGCAGAAGTTAAGGAAGAAGAAGTTTAGGAAGGAGACGAAGTCAAGGAAGAAGAAGTTTTGGATGGAGAAGAAGTTAAGGATAGAGAAGAAAGTATGGATGGGGAAGAAGTTTGGGATGGAGAAGAAGTTTGGAATGGTGAAGTGTAGACCCCGAATCTTGCCCGGCCTCCAAATAAAGTCAGAAAGCTTCCTATTTGAAGACGGTTGAAGCCTAACAAGCCACTAGGAGAGACTATTAGGCCTCCGTACCAAGATAGGAAGGTTTTTTGCCCAAAAAAGAAAGTTTCTCGCCTTGAAGGGACGAGACTGCCGTCTGGGAATACCAGACCGCCGTCTCGTTTCAGCGCCAGGACGAGACCGCCGTCTCGATTTTCCAGACGGCGGTCTCGTCACTCGCAAATTCGAGACGGCGGTCTGGGTTTTCCAGACGGCGGTCTCGACTTCCGCTTATTCGAGATGGCGGTCCCATTTTCCCAGACGACGGTCTCGACTTGCTGACATGAACGAGACGGCGGTCTCGAATTCCGAGACAGCGGTCTCGACCCTGTCAGACGAGACCGGCGGTCTGGACCCTGACAGCGCGAAAAACTATAAATAGGGGCTCTCCCCCCCTCATTTCCACACACCAAGCAACAAGAGCTCTCCCTTCTCTCTAGATTTTCTCTCTCTAAGAATCCCTCCGAGGCATTTCCGGAGTTTCTGAGCGTCTTTAGGCATAGACTGAGCGTTCTAAATCTTCTTAAGAATCCCTCCGAGGCATTTCCGGAGTTTCTGAGAGTGTAGAGTGAAGGGTTGCCAAAACGCACCCTTTTTCTTTTATATATAAAGCTTGCTTTGGAGGTGCATATCCTCATTCTCTTCTCTTTAAAATTACCGCTATTTAAATTATGCAATAGAAGCTAGGGCAATGTAGTCACATATTTAAATTCTGCATAATAAAAAGGGTAAAAGCGCAATTTTCCAAGTTTAAATATTTATAAATAGCCGGCCCATCATAGGGAACCCGAAAGGGGCGTCGCAAAGGGACTAATACTCCCTTTGCACGTAACTAACTCCCTTACCCAACTCTGGTTCTAATGACCAAAGTTGGTTTTCGAAAACCAACGCCTTTTAAAACCCCTTTTCCGATGTTTATGGTAAAAATATCGGTGGCGACTCCATAGAACCCAAAATAAATAAGTCCTTGGGTTAGCCCGGTTGTCGGACAACTCAAGGACACTTTTCGAAAACCTCGTCTCCAGATTAGTCCGGTTATCGGACAGCCTGAAGACGTTGTAACCACCAATAAAAAACGCGAAAACAAGAAGGGTCGATAAAACCATCGCATCGCTCCGACCGCCTCGTTTTGACGGCGGCAACAGATGGCGACTCCGCTGGGGAAGCCTAGAGAGTTGATCCCATTTAGTGATGGGCCAGCTTAAAAAATAATTAAACCAATAAAATAGCGCTTTTACCCAACCTTGTATTATAACATGCTTTATTGTTTGGCTTTCAATAAACTGTTGTTTGTTTATACTTACGCAATTGCTTGATATATAAATTGCACACAAAACCCTCGCACACTACAGTTCCTCCTATACCCGGGGGCAAGTGAGATAACCATAGGGAGTGGGTGGCAGGTACGGTTCGCTGCAGTTAGGGCCTTGTGCCCACCAGTGTGATCGAAAACCACCACTCAAGGTGATAACCTTCCTCTTTTGGCAACAAGACCGACTCTGGCCTTAGTGCTGAGCATGGTTGGACGGCTGGAGAGTGGGGACCCTATAATGGGGGCACCTTGGGGGCCTTAGCCTGGTGAGAACAGTTAGAACCTACCCTAACCAATGCACTTTTCTGCAGGAGAACCCTACCTCGTGATAAAAACGGAATCTCGTCGGTTCGGGGATGACTAAATTGTGTGTGCATATGATTGTTGCATATCATAAACGAACAACAGAACAAAATCACAAAAAATATTTCACAAATAAACACCCTTATCTCGGACAGTCTGCCTTTAAGCTAGCCTGGTTTCAGGTTCTTTGCAAGCTAAGTAGCCACGCAGTTCCGACAGAAGAGATAAGGGACGCTAAATAATTTTTCGCATAAAGCCATATTTTATCTCGGACAGTCTGCCTTTTAGCTAGCCTGGTTTCAGGTTCTTTGTAAGCTAAGTAGCCACGCAGTTCCGACAGAAGAGATAAAAGGCTATAAAATAAACAAATAAAAATAAAAATACAAATAAAAAATTCATTTTTTCCAAAATTCACAAATAAGACCTGGTCCAAAAACATTGCATTCATAAAACATTCATACAGATAGTTTATTCTTACAAAAAAAAAAAAAATGCAAATACCATACATCATGTAGAAAAAACATGATAAAATAGCAAAATAAACACTCACATTCATACAATAAACATCATCCTCATCAAATCATACATTTTGGTTTTAGAAGATGGAGGGGTCAAGTAGACAAGTGGGGAAGGTGGACATTCTCCGAAGCCATACTGGGAAGCTAGAGCGGCTCAGTGCGACAATGCCGCCGGAGGTCCAAACTGAGTTTGAAAAATCCTATGGACGGATTTTGGACCTCCTGAAAATCAGTGTCGACCAAGTCTTCCTCAGGGTACTAGTTCACTTCTGGAACTCAAATCTGCGGTGCTTTGAATTTCCGCAGTTCGACATGGTGCCCACCCTGGAGGAGTATGAAACCATGTTGAGATGGCCCAAGTCAGCTGGGGTCCATATCCGCCATGAGGCGTACACTCCTGCAGCACCAGTCGCTGCCCTTATCCATCTGCCGTATCGACAGAGTACCCTGATGGGAAGAGGGAACACCCAGGGGTGGAAAGTAGCAATGTTAGAAGACCACCTGTCCTACCTGGCTGAAAGGGCAGAGTGGGTTGCCTTCAACAAAACCCTGGCGCTATTAATCTTCGGAACGATCCTGTTCCCCTTCCACCTCGACACGGTTGACCACGCCGTCATGGACGCTTTCTTCGCCTGGGACGTGAACTCGAAGAGTCCCTTGCCCGCTATTCTTGCCGACACCTTGCTCTCGGTAGATTTCTGCAGTCAAAAGCAAGGAAGAACACTCTGCTACTGCTCTTCGCTACTCTATGTGTGGAGCATCACGCACCTCTATGCCTCCAGTCACATGGGGATATTCCCCGACCCCTTGAGAAGCTTCTCCAAGATCCCCCTCCGACGATGCCCGACCATAGAATGGAGGGATGAGTTAGAACGAAGGATGCCAACAAGCATATCTTGGGTCTGTCCTTGGTTCTGACCCGGCCCAATTCTCGTCAGATGCGGGAGCCATCCGAATGTACCCTTGACAGGACTTAGGGGTTGCATAGCCTACTCACCTAGAGTAGCTATGAGGCAACTCATGAGGACCCAAACTACCATCTCCCGAGGGGAACTCGGAGGACTGTGCTTCTTTGGAGACCCGTGCACAATGGCCAACTCACTGACTGTGAGAAAAGCATGGGAGAAGCCTGGTCTATATGGGAGACAGAGAGCTAGGAAAGGCTCTGGTAACCGTCACCGATGATTATGAGGCATGGAGGAGAAGAAGAGAGATGGCCCGACCATCCACCGCACCCGCTCCAATCGCCAACAACGAAGAGCTGCAGGCACAAGTCAATGCCTTGACCCAGAGGGTAGAAATAATGGGAGCCCAGATACGGGTCCTTGAGGAAAAAGAACAAGCCTCTATCCTCACGATCGACGGTCTACAAAGGCAAGGCAAGAAAAAGGATCATGAAATAGAACGCCTCAAGGACCAATGTGCTGATGCCAACGAACAAGCTATCCGAGCATCCAAGTCCGCCAGAACCAGCTCAGATAGTCAACTGCAGGAGATAACTGCCAAAACAGCACACCTTGAGGCGGAAGCAGCTCAGCAAGCTCAAACGATCAAGGAGTTATCAGAACAACTCCTCCAGGCTCGGCTAGATCTCCGCCAAGAGCGAGAGAACAACAGAAAACTCAGTCGAGGTATCTATGAGCTGCGCATTAAAGAGAAAAGCGGGCTAGCTCAATATGACCAGGTGCTACAAGAAAAAGACCGAGCCGTTGCAAGGCTCGACGAACTAGAAGCCCTGGTCATACATCAAGAGGCGAAGATCAAGGACGCTCAGCAATACAACGAAGAAATGAGCCAAGCGATCCACGAGCAAAGCGAAGCGCTCGCCCAACACGTCCGGGAAGCCGAAAGAGAGTTACAAAGAAAACAAGACCCGCCTGTGGGTTTCTTTAGGCTTTTCCGTTTTTGTCAAAAGATGCTTCGTAGTATGGAATAGGAGAATGTACACTTTCCCATGAATTAATGAAATCTTTCTCTTATTCAACATTTGTCTACTTGCATACATGTACATACATTTGCATATTTAATTTCCCTTCCTTCACGCTTAATAAATAAGATAATAAAAAGGAAGGATTAACTAACACGTCTTCCAACTCAGAAGAATGGAGAGAAAGCCACTCCTAATAAAGCTCACCCCAACGGTCGAATCATCGCAAGAGGAAAATAAACCTCAGCCGTTGGGCCTCAAAAATAAAGAAGAGGGGGCAAGGACACCCGTGCGACTTTTTATGCCACGTCCTTTCCCCTACGAATCAGATAAAGCTGTACCGTGGAGATATGGGGAATCTTCACCAATAAAAGAAGAAATAACGAACATAGCCGACATTGGGGGCGCGACTAGAAGTGGAAGAATCTACTCCCCCAAGGACACACAGGAAGATGTCCTTCAAAATAAAGGAAAAAATAAAAAGACCGAAGAAGAAAAAGAAAATAAAGAATCCAAGGAGGAGACAGAGGAATTACTCCAATTTATAAGACAAAGCGAGTATTCCATTATTGACCAGCTCAATCGCACACCTGCAAAGATCACGTTGCTATCTCTGATAATGAGCTCGGAACCGCACCGAAACGCCCTGCTGAAGGTCTTGAGCAAGGCGCATGTACCTCATACTATATCCCAAGAAAAGGTCGAGAGGATCGTCGGTCACATTACGGCAAGCAATCACCTCACCCTCACAGAGGAAGAACTCCCTCTCGAAGGGTCAAAGCACAACAAGCCCTTGCATATTTCAGTTAAATGCAAGGAATACCTCATTGCCAAGGTTCTTGTGGATAACGGGTCGTCCC